TTTTTATTTCCCACCCCCGCCGAAAACGATGCATCGAGGTTTCACTGTAGCAATTCTTCAATAATAGAATAATGGACTGATCAGAATGATTAAAAAACCATAACATCCCTGCTAAAAGCGTTAATGACGTATTTCAGACTTTGACTGGTATTAACAAATGACGTATATTAAAAGACAGTTACAATTTTCTGCACGAGAAACTGTTACCTGGATACCAGCCTGTTGTTGTTGCTGCAGAAACTGCTGCTGCTGATGATGATGGAGTTGTGCCTGCTGCTGAAGATGCAGCTGTTGCTGGAAATGCTGTGCACTCTGCTGGGGATGCTCTTGGAACAACTGGCCTTGCTGCAGGTGCTGCTCCATGCTCGGTTTCTCGTCTGAAGGAGAGGGGCGTGGAGATGTGCCACCCAGACCTGAAGTAAAAGCAGCGGCATCAAATTTCATTTGCGATCAGATAACTTCATACTAATTAAAAACTAAGTTTCATATCCGTTCACTGACCAAGTCTAAATTTTTTGAATTCATGTTCCTCAATGAACTCACCAAGAGCTTTGCTGAAATCAGCCAACATGCCGCTGATCGTGCCAGTGGCTGGCTTGGCCGCATTTCCTGTAGCTGATGTCTGCTGCTGAACAGAACACGCTGGCTCCAAGTGGCCACTATCCTGTAATACAATCCAAAACAACTCCTTAATTCGTTATCATAATTATATGCTCCTTCATACAAAGAAAGTGGTACATAACATTAAGTTCTGGCTATATCTTCTATTAATCTGTAACAAGAGAATAAATAAATTGCATAAGCTGGCATTTGGGAACAATTTTTTGCAAAATACGATAGTGCAAAAGGACATAAAATGAGTCTGTTAAACGGGATAGCTCAGTCAGTATAGTGACTAACCTATGGGCTGGACAACTGGGGTTCAATCCCCGACAGGGGCAGAGGATCTTTCCTCTAACCTCTGCGTACCGAGGTCCCTTCCCAGGGGTAAAATGTGGCCGGGGCATGATGCTGACCACTCACCTCCATCTAGTGCTGAAGTCAAGAATGAGTAGGAGCTATACCTCCTCCCCACCCAAGTAACCTACATGGTGTGTAATGGGACTGCTTTCCTTTTTAACTTTTACTGTGAAAACATTTCTGCAAATTAGGAATATAAACATAGAAGGAAGGAGACATTAGTGATGCTATGAAGCAAATTAGATGTCACCCACATCTTTTAGTACTTATTAAATGTTTGCTCTGATTAACAGTTAAGGACAGACACAGTGAAACATTTATTTATCACATATAAGTTGACTGAAGGGACTAAAATGCACTGCTAGTTAGAGGTACAACATATTTAAAGATTTATCTAAGAGACATTTCTTTTGTTACCTGCAGAACTGACTGTTGGTGAGGTTGTAATATTTGCTGTGTTTGCTGCTGATACTGATGTAAGTTAGATGGTTGTTGTTGATGTTGAAACTGCTGCTGTTGATGTTGCTGAAACTGCTGTTGTTGATGTTGAAGCTGCTGCTGTTGATGTTGCTGAATCTGCTGCTGTTGATGTTGCTGAAGCTGCTGCTGTTGATGTTGAAGCTGCTGCTGTTGATGTTGGTTTGTGTTCTCTTGGAACCGTGATCCTTGCTGCAGCTGTTCTTCAAGGCCTGGTTTATCTTCTGATGGGGAAGGAAGTGGAGATGTAGTACCCAAGCCTGCATCAGTACCCACCACATAAAGCAAACAGAGTGAATGTACACATACATACATCAGGTTTTAACTCTGACACCTCTCCAGCAACCATAACTCGGTGTAGGAGAATGGTAACGAGACAGGTGACATTTCAGGTTCTCACGGCAACGAGTACAAAGATGACTCTCTTCCTCTTGGTAACATGATACATTTAACCAGTAACCATAATTTCTTGTAAACCTTATAAGCTTAATAAAATAACTGCAAGAGATGACAGTCAATATAAACACGAATTAAGGTACGTGTTACATAACACTTTATTATTACATACATGAAGTACTGTTTGATGCAATTCTAGAGTAATAATACCAGCTTCTTTAGTCACTTTTAAAGCATCAAGGGATGATGAGAGACAAATACACTGTGAACTGATGATGGTGCAACACATGGTTTTTTTTACTTCATTCATTCATCTGCACATTATAAAAACCACGTTTTGGAAGTTGGTTCTAACCCAATCTTCAGGTGAAATAAGAAACAAAAGAATATCTGTCAGGCCCCCTGGTTGTCCACATTTAAGATTAGCTGACCAGGGGACCCAACAGCTTAGACTTCATACCTTTGTCATGTAAAGACAAAAGTAGAACAAAATTCCTGATATTTTGTGGTTTTTACAACACCCAGATGATGGACAAAAGTCTAATAAAAAATGAATACATATCAAATTGTTACACGTTTCTATTTTTACTGATATTACCTAATGCAAAACGTTTCCACAAAGATATCAGCAGAGTGATGTGATATAGAAGATACATCATTTCTCACCTACATCGGTACTGTCACACAAACTTAGGCCAAATAATACTTTATTCTTTAGGGTAAAAATCCAGTATAAAATCTACTAACCAAGGGCCTTGCTAAAGTCAGCCAACATCCCACTAATTGTGCCAGTAGATGGCCTGGCCCCAGGTCCTGTTGCTGCTGCTGCTGCTGATGATGATGACGATGGAGGCAGCTGCTGTGTTTGCTGTTGCGGCTGCTGAATGGAATGGACTGGATCCAAGGTCCCACCCTCCTGCAACAGGAAGTAAGCCTGCCAAGTTATTGCCTCATTTCACTCACACTCCGCATGATAAAGGCATTATCCTCTTCATATATATTTTAATATCTGTAATCAAAATTAAGTTGCATAGAGAACTCATAAAACACACTTTTCTACTACACACACTGTCAGGGAATATCATCTCATCATCATTTGCTATCAAGGATTGGGCCCTTGGCCCATTCCGGACAGTTGCTCAAGGCAACTTGTTTGATTAGTGTTTCTAGTTCCTTAGAGTAACAGGTGACAACCCTGCTGCCTCCAAACAATTTCTACTCATCTCTCATTGTCTGCTAGAGCTTTCTAATAGCAAATCAGAAGAGAAATGGTTGAGAAATGGCCGCTGAATTTTGCTTATGAAACATCTTGTCCATGCTCGCAAGGTTCCTTTACATGCCGTAAATCTACGACATGGGACTGCTGATTTTACTTCCCCTCCGAAGGAAGTCATGCTGTGGATTTTTATGTCACGGAATATAATATAAAAATTAAATGCACTTTAACTCATGGGTTAATGTGCTGTGTTGACACACACACCTGAAATGAACACTTGGGACATGAAATAAACGGGTGGCAACATTTAGTAAAATACTTATAAACCTTTGTAATACAGGTATCGATATAATTAAAACATGTCTTAGGCTTGCCAACATACAGTTCAACAAAATTATTTATTCCACTTTGACATAACAGATCATCAGAGAAGACTTAACTGCATTTACACTCTACCACTCCACAAAATTAAGGAAATTATAAAGACCATAATTGATAAAATATAAAGAACTCACACAATAAAATCCAAAAATTCTGCATTGGTTTTATATATATGTAGCTGGCCCGAAGTCCTCATCTTATCAAACGGTCCATCGGTGAGCCAACAACACTCACACTACTAGTCAGAAAAGCTGTTCACTAATAGTTGAGCTAAAACTACACTACTGCAACTAAAGCAGTCTCACTACATCTTGGCATGGAGGGGAGGGTTTACCTGGAAACGCTGCATCAACTCTTGTTCTGCACGTTCAAGTGTGGGGGACACATCCAGGATTGGCGAGAGATCCGTGACAGGGGACCAGTCGGCAGTTTCAGTGCGAGCAGCTCGAGGCTTCGTACCGTGGAGCTGAAGGAGAAAGGAGCACCATCCACGTGGGATATACACATCTCCACGCAATGTGAACACTTTCCTCTTATCTACCACCCAAGCGATTTATATCTAATCATGCATTACAAAGGGTTGTTGGTCAATTTGGAAAAATTATCAAAGATGTAATATTTTATCAATTAACTTTACCTGTAATATTCATCAGACAATCCACTAGTAAACATAAACATGACATCTGGAAAACTTCAACTCTTCCAGTTACGTAAAATTTGAGGTTCTTATGACATTACGTACGAGGGCGGCTGCCTTCTGGGCTGTCATGTCATGCAGTCTTGTAGAAACTTACCAACTGTCAGACGTCCTCGCTGCCTTGACAATCAGGGTGATTAGTGACTCACCCATCACCCTAATGATGGAAGCAGCAGACAAGACTACATGTCACTATAACCCGGAAGACAGCCATGCTCTTCCAGTTATACTGTACACAGACTGTGCTACAGATAAGAAATGCAACTGTTTC